GAGGAACATCCTTCTCCTGCTAAGTACGGCTTCCTTGGTAAAGCACTTTATTCCCAAATGATCTGCTAATAGAAGCCTTACTATTACTGTCCCTCCCTGGTGGCGCAGCAGGTTAACGCACAGCACTGTGCAGCTGCTTCAGCACGAGTTCGATGCCAGCCCCAGAGCTGACCCACAAGGTGCAGCAGACCTCTCCTGTCTTGCCCCGTTCCCCTCAGCAGTGTACTTCGTTGATCTGCCTGTTCTGCTCCCCACTCTGTCTCTGGTGAATCCTCTCACCGCCCCTGAAACTCTGGCCTGTACTCCAGTTCTGTAGGCATAAATAAATCTTTTTTTAAAAAAGTGTAGACTATTACTAATAATCTGTAGTTTTAGTAAACCTTTATAGGACTTTAGCACAATGTACTTATTTAAATAGCTATTATTAACTTGCTTGTTTTTTTCCCCCTTTAGCTTAAGATTTACCAAGGCAGAAAGTTATTTATCAGTGTACTGCTTAGCTAGAACTATAGTAACTATATAAAGGTATTCAAATATAGTTAGTGTATCTACTTTGATTTTTGATTTATGGGAAATTATAACATACACTTATATGTCATCGTTCAGATGACCAGAATATATTTCTGTTTGGTCTTCATCCCCATTTCGTGGCTCACAGCTCTCACTGGAGTTTCCTAAGCATTGTGAGTGATAAAGGTGTGTTTTGATATGTTAGGGAAGGTAACTTGTGGATGGTTGCCAGGGAAACCAATATGATAAACCACTATGATATGTTACTGTTACTTCCTGATTTCCTGAGATGGGAAAAGATGAAAGATGGTATTCAATTGCCAGTGGTCAAAGCCCAAAAGACGGGCTTTGAAGAGAGAACCTGTTGAACACATGATGAAATGGGAGAGACTGGCATGCCTAGAGAGGGCATAGGTATGCCTCACCTTTCCTCCCTGCCTTCCTTATATGTATTTCTTCTATCTGGCTGTTAATTTGTATCCTTTTTTTTTTT